CATTCGTAAATGGCGTCTGGGGGTAGAGGGCACTACATTGTTCCTGGAACACAACAGAGTTTCCTTGAAGGATGGTGTAGGCATCCGATGGAGCATTACAGTCAGGGCTTGGGAAGTCAAACCAGGCCCAATCATTGTACTGATCCGCCGATCCACAGCTAACAACATGCATAGGGAGGGTGTTGTCTTTGCACAGATATCCAAGGGCACTCTCATCAACATTAACGTTGTCTCCAACGTATTGAATAGCCACGGAAGGGTCATTGTTCTTTTGGACCTGGATGGTGTGACTTGGACTTACAGCAGGAGCGGTGGTTTGATGCCAGTGCTCAATGAGCACACGGAGATCTCCGGCAGGACTGATGCAGGTGTAGATCTGAACACCATGACCAATGGTTGTTCCAAGGAAGCCCAAAAAGGATGCAGCAAAGAGGATTGAGGATGAGAACTTCATGGTTGTTGGTAGTTTGTTGAGGACAAAGAAACTTGCTTTTGGAGCTGCTTTTGGTTTGTGGAGGAATCCAAATTGTGAGCTTTTGTTGGAGGTTGTCTCTTGATCATTCCATTCAATCCGCGGTCCCTCAACCCTTCCGCGACCCCAAAGCTCTTGAGCGTGACGTTAGTGCCAACCGGTAAGGCAGAGCTGGGGCGTAATTGTTAGGCATTGAAGTGCAGACTCGTGACTCCTCATGTTTTCTCTCTGCCTCACTCGATCATACCGCGACCGCGGCGGTACCAATGCTGCACAAAGCCATGCACTTCGCAGCCGCGCCAAGCCGCCAAGCCTAGCATATTTCGGAAGACGCGATGACGAGCGATGCATACGTGAACCACATAGGATGCAGATCAATCACGAGTGTTGAAATTCCGTTATTGGTTCACGGAATGGGCGAAGGGCATTACTAATTGTTCTTATGATTTACCTTAGTTCTATGCGTCATTAATTCTTACAAAATGATCTCCTAAATCATGTTCGACCCGAGCATCTCCCTCAGAAGAGTCACGGGTCGGTACAGTCGTAGCTTCTAAAGTTAGAGTACCGTAATCGGACACAGTGCTAAATTTTTACTACAGTAGTACAGTAGTACGGTACGGTATTGTTACGTGTGTAAATTGTGTACCGCTACCACTAGACTACATGTAACAGGTAGCATCCTGGATGGCCATGGCACGGCAAATTCTGCCATCTTCGTGCCACTTGTGTGTGTGAACAAAACTCTTCGAGCAGACGGCTTGCAGTCGCCGAGACAAGCAAGCCAAGAGAAAACTACGCGCAGGGCACAAATGAAGAAGAGAAGGATTTGGAACTGACACATGCACGGTAGTATCTAGCCATCATCCTCACAACAATCAACAACCAATGCTTCGTTTGCGTGACGTTTGCTCCTCACCAATGAAGGCGTGAAGTGGGACCAATCCCTTTCCGCCTTTGAACAATCAACGGTCGGGTTCTGTGCACTTTTAAACTGGAGTCGTTGGTCTCTTGCTTTGACATGTCCTGTTTATCCAACAATCAACCGCGGGAAATCCCCAGCTCACTAAGTCGTGTGGCGGACTCTGCCAAGAGTTCCATGGTTTGCGCCGGTTTGCCAGCAGTGATGGCCTACGGCACAATGGATGAGCAGTTGTCAAAACTGGTACAACGCGCAATGTCACTTACTTATTCGCTCTTTCCTCTCTGAACTAAATCTAGTGCATACCGGTACGGAATCGAATCGAATCGAATCAATCGACGGGGTGGCTTCTGCTTATCATGCAAGGCTTCAAACGGACATGACCCTAATGATTCCTATTTTTTAAAATTAGAATGTCGTGGTGTGAAACCCATCTCAATCTATCGGCACATGTACTCTCGACGCTCCCTGGAGATCAAATCACGTTCGTAAAAAGCCATCTAGTCAATCGCTCGTTCAAACGAGCCGGACCACTTTATGCATGTCACTCCATTGAGCGCACTTCGCATAGGACAGTTAGGGCGGGCTAGGAACACAACTCAAGGCAAGGAGCAGTTGAAAGTGGTTCGATCGTACCTTATGGTCTAGTATTCTGTGGGCAGTTGACCCTTCCAACTTTGCAGGCTCCGCCAACGAGCAATCCGTCGCCTTCGTGCTTGGTTCCACTTGGTTGGGGGCCGCCTCGGGAGTGGAGTCATCAACAATTCGGCCATGAAGGTAGTAGGACGAGTGTAGAGTCACAAAGCAAGCCCCTCTTCTTCTAGCTACCTGGCCATGTCTTTCAAACAAGGCGCTTGACGCCTTTTGTGTGTCCCCTACTGTAGCTACTAGAGGCGCTGGCCCACTGGCATGTCCTCGACATTAAGCAACCCTGGACCTGCTACAAAGCCGACACATGCCGCAAAAGCTTGCGAGAATTCCTACCGTAGTACTACTGTAGCTAGTCTTAGCAAGGGCCAAGGATACGTCTTGATTTTGTTTTGAAAATTAGATGTCCTTTTCCATTTCGAATTATGGTATTTCGATATATGGTACCGTAATACGTGGCTCGGTCCGCCCCGCAACAGCTCGCAAAATGTCACTTCTCGATACCAGTACTGTGCTACATGTATGTAACTACGGGTACCACAGATTCATGGTACGCTACCGTAGAAAACTAAAGGCTACTGGTAACTACATAGCTAGTAGCTACCTACCTAGTCCAGCTTTTTGGCAACTGCGGCAGCTGAATGGACCAACATGCCCGTTGCCAATCCCACAGTGACAAAGACCCCACCAACAATAGACACCAACGATGATAGGAACACCAAGATATTCTCCCGACTCTCTACATGGTGGACTGCCAAGGGTGTAAAGTCAAAACTGACTGCAATTCCCGGTAAGAGGGGGACACCCTTGGCTACCAACGTTTCTGGTTGCACTGTGTGATCCACCACGGAGAGTTGATAGGTAGTGCTGGCTGCGAGGAACCGTTGGTATATTGTCGGGATTAGCTTGACGTGAATTTGCTGCAAGGCAATGCCCCCCATTTTGTTTTGAATCGTATGCAGCCGTCCTTCCAGCGGCGCGTCCTTGGCCCTTGGGAATGGCGTACCAAAGCGAATGTAGTGAATGTAGTGGCTGACATTAAATTCCAGTTTTTGGGAGAGTCCGGAATCAGGGATTTGACGATCATCCAATAGGCCCAACAGCAACGTCGATGTAGCTTCGGCCCATGTCCGTCGTGTAATGGTAATGGCAAATTCGCCTGCCACCAGTGGGATTTTGAGATCTCCCAGAATGGTACATCCATTTCGAGTTTGGGCCGGTGTGGCACCCGTCTCCATGGCGAGCCTGAGCTCACTGAGAGTGGGAGTCCTTAGGGTCAAAGATTGTCGTCCATACACTTTCTCCAGCGTTCCAGAGGAATGGCTGGCATCGTCCAAGGCAAAATCAAGCTGTCGACAAGTCAAATGGGGAAATGTGATCATGAACTTGAGGGGTATCTTGCCCGGCATGTCGCTGATCGAGTGAGAGGGCCGAGTCAAGGGAACATGAGTGGACTGGGCGAGATGCAGAGAGTGTCGTGTCACGCCTCGAAGATACAGAAAGATCTCGGATACAAACAAAATTGCTGCCGCAGATATCGCAACAAGTGTAATCAGACCTCCCAACGCAGACTTGGACTGAACATCCCGACGCACTTTTTGGAACGCGTCGAGTCTCCTCAATCCAGCCATGATAATAGGTCTTTGGAAATATATATACACGAGCCTCTCAGGAAACTCGAATCGACTCCTCAGTCTGCCTGAATTGAATCCGTACCAGTAGTGTTGGCAAGGTTGTTCTGGTCCCAATGGAGCCCTCTACCGGTATCCAGTTATTAGTTAGAGTATTCGCTGCCTGTTATTATGCTCGACCAATCGCACTTCATCGGCAGCGGCTCTGTGGCTCACTGGCCATTGGCATTTGGGGGTCCTCTGGCCGATGTTCTTTGGGGAAGGCCAGTGGATTTTCTTCGAAAAGTGGTTGGGGTAAAGACTTTCCCGATAGTGTTAGGGATACTGTACCGTACGATCCCCAGCAAGCCAACCATAAGATTTGCCACCGCCTTGGCTTGGTTTCACTTCTTGCTAAAGCTCTTGACGGGTTGGTTTTTAGCTACTAGTACGGTATACAAAGTACCCGGCAGCTCTAGCCAGCTACGGCTAGATCATCGAGAAGTCAACCCTCGTTTAGAAACATGCAAACTAATTATAAAACTTATTTGGAAGACACAAAGCCCGGTATGTACGTATGGCTGCTAAGCTACTTCCCTGTCATCTGTTGTAGCTGCCACCAGGCCATCCGATAGAACCCCAAAGTGGTGCGTGTGGCATTGCCCTGTGGAGCTATCGCACTCACAGACACCGTCGAGGCAGATGTGACTAATACCGTTCACATCAATGCAGGCGTCATTCTGGCCGAAACACTTTGCGTTAGCAGATGGAAAACACTTGTGGCTGTTGTCACACTCCAGTTTGCAACGGTGTTCGTGACAAGCGCCCGTTGTGCATTCGCTGTCGAGAGAACACGCGCTACCAAGCTGCTTGGCGTCGACCATGGCTTCGTATTCATCCTTGAAAGTAACGGTGGCATACTTCTTGTGGTCGCTGACATGCTCACGCCCTTCATGACCAACTCTACAATCGTTGAAACCGTGGCGAAGCTCCTCATATTCACAACAAAAGTCTTCCTTGTTGAAATCGCCATAATGCTTTTCCGCATATTGATAGCAGGCTTCAAAGCAACTTGACATGGAGTCATCATGTCCCAACTGGGAGAAGTAATTCTTGTAGCTGCTTCTTGCCCGAGAGCTGAAGAGTCTAGTACTGCTCTTGCACTTGTAGTATTCTTCAAAGTTGAAGGTCACCGGAGTACTACCTCCGTAGAAAGCCGCAACTGACTTGGCCGCCTTTTCATTCACTTGCGAACTCAGTTTCGAAGCGACAGCCACAGACTTTCGGAACTTTCCTCCAGCAGCCTCTACGGCGTCCTTGGATAGCCTTGTGACCTCCTCTTCCAATTGATGCCCCATGTTCTTTGATTTTCCAATGATATATCCATTATCTTCTTCATATATGGCAAATGCAACCCAATTGATTTGGCAGTGCAAGTTGGGAGTGTTGGTATTCATGTACTTGATTCGGCATCGCATCCAGAAACCTGTCCATTGGACGGTCAGCTCCATAAAAGCCGGTTGGATCTCAAATCCGATGGTTCCTTCCTCCACGTCGGCGCTGTCAAGGTCGGTGCAGCCTCGCCCTGACACCAGAATGAGGACTCCTTCCATATCCGTACAGATTGTCTCTACAACCTTCTTGAGTGAGTCAAATTCTGCGGTGGCATGCATCGAGAACCCAGCGTTAACACCATTGAAGGTCGCAGGAAGCTTGAGAGCCTTGATTTCGGTATCTTCGAGTGAAAATCCCGCAAACAGACCTCGGGTGACACTTTCCAGATTGACGGCAATCTTGTCAGCCGAAACCACTTCAGGGTAGTTACTGAGGAATGCATTCATGCCGGAAATCAACTCTTCTGTGGAACTACTGACCGTGCTTAGCTGACTTGACATGGTGTCAAAGGCCGTTTCTACTTCGGTGGTAGCTGTGCCAAAGTTGAATGCTCTTGCATAGGGTCCATCGATCGACACAACGTCATCCCCCACATTGGGTATTGAAATGGCACCTTGATAGGAAAAGTACAAGTGTGCATGAAAGTCATTCGTGTGGAAATGCCGCCCACTATAGTATTTGGCTTGGACATCCAGGCCGCCGCCATAGGATGCCGCAAACGTGACCGTGTCCTCCTCACTCACTACAGTGGAGCTCAAGGCGGATAGGAATGATACTAGGGCACCTCCTACACCACCATCCACGGCAACACCCAAAGCCGAGGATACTTCGTGCAGTGTGGTCAATCCGTCCGCATTGGCACTTATTCCAAAGGTGAACTTGTGGCAGGTGTCGGAGGGAATTCTCATGCCCACGCAAAACTCGGGTTCGTAGTTGTCTTGATTGGCTGCCTCAGTGTTTGTCCAGAGACTTGCATTGTATAGGGTTGCCTGCAACTCGGGGCTGACATCAAAGGATCCCGCCAGAGTGCCAAATTGAGTGCCACTCACCAAGGGGATCTTATCACACCCTAGGTCTTCCAGATTGTCATTGTCGTGAAATTCGGCTCCGTCAAAGTCACCAAAACACACATCCATTTCCTCATCAGCCGGCAGGTGCGAGGCAATCAGTAACAGTGGTTCTAGAAATCTAATAAAGGGAATCAATCACACACAAAAAGAAAGAAAGAAAGATGCAGTGTGAGCCTAAAGGAATCTTTTTCCCCCATAGAGCATGAGACAGGATATGATATCCATCATAATCATCACCTTGCCTATAGCAACAGAAACAAAACAAAACCAACTTACTGATCATAAACGGACTGTGCCGCAGTATCGTTACTGGAGCTAATGAGCTGACCAACCCCGTCAGCCACAGTGCTTGTAATAAAATCAGCCGAGTCGGCACAAGCACCGTCCGTGCCAAAAGTGTGACATGTGTCGCTGCCATTGGCTGTTGTTGCGAGTGCCGCGATGAGCAAGAGCCATGGTACCAGTGCTCTTTGAAACAACATGGTTGTTTGTCTGTGGTTATCTATTCCTCTCGCTATAGTATCCTGGTGATTTCTACTAAAAGGGATGGATGCTTTGCTGATTGTGAGTCGACGTTTGTTGGCTTCGTCTGGATGACGACGAGCCGTGCTGGTCCTTCTTCAATGGAAAAATAAAGGGAGCTTCTTCTGTTTGTTGTTGTTTGTTGTCGACTACTCCGTTACTAAGCAAGATGAGTGTGGATCAAATCAACCAATGGGTCATGCCTTGGATATCTAACTGAATGGGATGTCGCTGAATGGTCAACAACTAACTGCATTTTCCCCAGTTTACCCTTTGTCGGACAGGGTGTTTTCTTGGGCCTTCTCCATGAAGCTTCGCTCTGGTGGGACCAGGGTAATCTGGTCGCTATGTTGCTTTTTAGACTTCGCGAGATCACGTGATGGGCCGGTTGTGGGAGCTGGGAGGCAAGTGAATGGTGAGTTTGTAGTGGTACCATTAGGAAGATTTAAATTTGGCACGAATGACGAAGCAAGATCAACTGATCATTAAAGCTTCAAAGGCTTTTCTGGGCTCAAAAAGTCTTGTGGCTCTACGGGATTTAATTGACGGGCTACCATGCAGTCATTATTATTAAACTTCCCAGCTCCCGGTCCCACACAGCCACACTTAAACACAGACAACAGCTCTCCCAACCCAAAACCCGCAACCATCAAGGAGCTCTCTTTGCCACCGTGAAAGTGAAAGGCATCCTGGCAAACCATGACCCAGTTCCGCTACATGTAAGCTCCCGGTTCAGAACGGATCGCATGAATATCATACAGTACTACCGTACAGTAGCAGTCTGGTGTGCCTCGTATCATGTCTTCCAAATTGCTTGATTGCATGGACCCCGACATCGATGAGGGGGGCCAAGCAGCTGAGCTCCAATGACTTGAACTACAGTACTAATAGCTGGCTAGCTAGAGCTTCCAAATACCAGAAGAGCGACCAAAGAATCCAAGAATGCTTGGCTGCCACCATGCCGCTTGAAGCTTTTGTCATACTGAGTAATAGCACGTTGTTGGCTGCATCATGTTCCCCGGTCAATTTTTCTTTTCCATGCCAGCAGTCTGCCTTATTGCGGAGAGCATCTGAGGGCGTGTGAGATAGTGAGGGATCATGAGATCCTCAACAATCTAGGCAGTCAGCATGCTCTCAACCCTGCCAGTAGCCCTGCATCCTCAACTGAAGGGAATTGAAATATGGGCAACAGAACAGTTGAGAATGTAGTTAGATAATCAGTACTATAGTCACAATGTAGCACTCAAACCCTCAGCACACAGACAGCAATCACAACAACAGCAACCGCAGCAGTATTAGCAACCGCAGCAGCAACAACAGCAACAACAGCAACAACAGCAACAACAACTGACAACAAGCCCAAGGCGAAGATTTATGAACATGCTGGCGAGGACTGATTCAGACATAACGGTAGAGAGGAACAACGAAGAGGAAGAAGAGGCCAGCTCAGAAATCCAGGAACTTTTGAAGGATGTCAATCAGGGCCAACCAAGAGACCACAAGAGGGTTATTGAATTGGTGAGAAAATTTCCAAATTTGGCATTGGTGCCTTTGATCAAATGTAAATATGGCAGCAGCAGCCGTACAATTCTGAACCAGTTGGTCCAAGAGAGAGCGCCACTCGAGGTGATCCGCGGTGTTGTCGAAGCTTCACCTGGCTCGGTACGGGCACCGGAGACTGATGATGACTTTCTGCCAATACACACTGCCTGTTGGTACAAGAAGGACTATTCTGATGTCATTATTTACCTGGTGCAGCAGTATCCAGAGAGCTTGATGGAAAAATACAAAGGCAACGCGGACAAATTGCCAATTCACCAACTGGTGCAGGGAGAAGTTGGAATTCTTGAGGCCATCAAATACATGGTATCCAAAGTCCCAGGACTTGTATCCACCACAGACAAGTTCGGCTTCCTCCCACTGCATTGTGCCTGTGGCCCCTCACTGAGCACCAGAGGGGACCCTCTAATTGTTGAATATATGGCAGCAGCTTTCCCTGATGGGCTTAAAGTGATGACCAACCGGCAGATCCCACCCACCCCTACCAGCCAGACACACAGGAACAATAGCCTTTCAATGGCACTCCTATTCACTGCTTCTACCAATGAAAGAGAGAACCACCCCCGGTTGGAAACTGTTCAGCTATTTTTGGATCTCTGCCCGGAGTGTGTCACCTTCAAGGACTCTCTGGGGCGCCTACCACTGTCGATTGCTTGTGCCACTCCCCTAAAGATTTACAATTGGGATGTAATGTGTCTCCTTGCAACAAAGCACCCTGAAGCTCTTAGAGGTGCAGACCAAAATCGTGGGGGTTGCCTACCCATCCATGATTGCATAAGCAAGAAGGCCCCTCTGGAAGTGGTCCACAAGGTTGTGGAGCTATACCCAGAATGCCTCTCTAAACAGTCTCAGTGGCTTGGAACACCTCTCCACCATGCTTGCTGTTGTTCCAATTATGGACAAGTCATTCAATATTTGGCCAAACGCAACCCCAGCATCCTGATGATGCGGGGCAGGGGTGGCCAACTGCCCCTCCATCAGCTAATCACCTCCAAACGACCTTCAAAGCATACTATGGATACTGTTCAATTGTTGATTAAGCTTTGCCCTCAAGCCCTCCTTCAGGCAGACAGTTATGGGCGTCTGCCCCTGGTTAGGGCATGCCAGGAGAAGCATTCTGATGTCATTGCCTACTTGTGTGAACACCACCCCAATGCTACATGGCAGGCGGCAGGTGGAAGCATCAAAGGACAAAGCTGGATTCCCCTACATGCTTTGCTTCAGGCATACATGCCTAGCCTAGAGGATGTCAAAAGACTTGTTGAAATTCGACCAGAAAGTGTTTGGCAAGGGTCATCGGCCAAAGGGGTCAATGCATTGTCATATGCTTGCGGGGGCAATGATATGGCTGTATTTGCATACTGTTGCCAGAGGTTCCCCACAACAGAGAAGAGCCTGAAGCTCTGTGGGGGCAGATTCAATCTCAACAAGGAGATTGCAGTTCTCATTGGAGGCCTGCTTCCTCAGCTGGAGTTTTTTCACTGTGAAGCGGACCTTGGCTATGACTATGATGGGGAAGGTTGGTTCCACTTGATTGACAGATTGCAAGGCAACACATCCATTCTGGATTTGACAATGACAGTTCCCATGCTTTTGCTTGCATCCTCTGATGGAGCCAGTGTGCGCTTTACTGAAGCTATCATGGGTAGCTCTGTGCGGAACTTGACAATTTGGCAGCGGCGATCAGACTCAAGGATTGAGAGAAAGTTTCGTAATGTCAAGCAACCAGAGTGGAATGTGGCTAAATTTGTTGTGGATATGATCAGCCGAGGCCAGACTTCTTCGTTAGCTATTGAGGGAAATATCCCGTGGGGCCAAGGCAAAATCAATGCCATTCTTGACGCTCTGAGAAACAACAATCACCTTCAGACGCTTTGGCTACCCTCACTGGCACTCACCAAACCACAAATTCAGAGCTTGCTGGATATTGTCGCCTCCCACAATGTTACATTGAATGAGCTCAGGATGAGCTCACTGGCACTCACCAAACCACAAATTCAGAGCTTGCTGGATATTGTCGCCTCCCACAATGTTACATTGAATGAGCTCAGGATGAGCTCGGCTGGGTCATGTAACTTGATGGAGCACGTGCTTTACTATGTCAGACTGAATGGAGCTGGTAGAGCCAAAATCCATGATCCAAATGCCACAAGATTGATCCTTGTGAAGCTCCTCGTAGCTCAGAGCAAATCTAAGGAACCAATCAACCAGGTCAATGCATGCTTCGGCCTTTTGAGTGAGTCACTTAGTTTGTGGTGTGAAGTGGGGCAATGGATGGAGGACACATCTCTTGGGGGTGAACGTGGAACCCAAGCTGAACCCAATGACCTGTCTGTCGATTTACCGACTTCTCAACCCGTGAAACAAACTCCACGAAGGACCGCTAGTGCGACGAGACGCCAACGGTTGGCAGAATTATCAGGGTTGGCACAACCCACAAGCGGATTTGCTCCGCCTGTACGAAGAGCACCACAATGGCCAAAACAGCACCATGCGCAGCAATCAGGTTTGACCAAACAAGAGTGACAGTCTGGAGACAACGGAAAGAAGGTGTGTGCACGAAAGATGGGTGGCGGCAAAGTCCGGCTTGGCGCCAAACATTGCGCTAACTTAGTATACTCTGTAATTATAACTGTGTGCGAACTTAATACTCTGTAATGGCACACTTGAATACTCATTCGGCGCTCAGCACCCGATGGGTACACTGTCAAGAAAAGGGACACCCGGTCAGACATGAATCGATCAGTCTGACGAGGAAGGGGAAAACGCACTAGATTGTAGATTGTCGCGTCCATCACGCATCTATATTACTTCGCGCCTGAACCTTCCGACGAGCTCAATCAGTGCCCTGGGAACATACAATAAGAGCGGAATGCCAATGGTCGAAGCCAAGGCCACGAGGGGCGGAATACTTTGTGAACCCAAGGACACGACCATAGTGCCAAAGGCGACTGCCAGAAACCCCACGCCTTGCACATTGTTAAGCGTGGTACTCGTAGTTGCTGCGATTCCATACATGCGAGCCCCGAGTCGAGGTGACAATGCCGGAATGGACAAGGCCAACATTGTGAGACTTCCATGGGCTTGAATGAACTTCGAACCCCATGGCGGCTGGGTCCAACAGCAATAGGACACAATCACATCCAACAAGAGCCACAGAGCAATCCCCTTGGCTTCGAATCCACACTTGGAAGCTTGTCGTGTGATCAACACCCGTGATAACTCCACATTCCAAAGGGCAAAACATAACCCCAGTGCCGTAGACGAGGAGAAATGGAATGCGAACATCGAACCAAAGCTAATCAACATGGACACCGCGAGAACTCCCTTGGTTCGACGGAGCCATTGATCCAACATGGAAAGACTTTTGTCGATGCCACCTCGTGCGACCGATACCGGTAGCAAAGAGGATGATACAACGCCTTCATGCAGTGGAGGAAGGCGGACGAGTCTTCGTTGTGCTAAGAAGGGTGCGCGAGGAGTTGCCTTGTGGATGTGGTTGTTCTTGTCCTTCCACTGTACCGTTCCTAGTGTTACTCGTGGGACAATGTAGTGCCCTGGACGCAGCGCTCCCACCGCCGATCCATAGGCGAGAAGAGAAAACAAAAGCGCCGTCGTCCTCATCATCTGTGTTGGTACCGCACTGATCTTTGTTGCTACCCTTGTGAGTTTTGATGACCATAGCATGGAACAAATGGATCATTGCAATAATATTGTATTCTGATTGAGATCAAAGACGTGCGTGGGAACTGTTGTTCGTTCATTTGTTCTGTGGGGTTTGTCGTAGCCGCTCCACTGCGCTCCAACAGGCCCGGAGAATCCGAAATCCGAATTTTCCGTAGCACCTAAAAAGAGGCTGTAAACTACATAGGTGGACCTGGACAGCATCCGATTTGTCCGCCCTGGACTAATCAAAACATGGGAAGAGCACTTAGCAAGAGGCTACTGATAGTACTGCTTGCCCAGGCACTTCTAACAATTCTATGGGTCCACTCAGCTGGCTGATGAGTAGCTAGGTGATGTCTGGCATGGGTTCCCCACGGACAAGCTGAACTTCTCAAGTGCCGATCAAAGCAAGCCAAAGGGAACTGTAGCTTCTCAGCTCGATCGAGGTATCATATTTTAAGTTTTATTGCTTTGTTTGACCAGCCAACATCATGAATCATCCTTCGTTTGTTTCTCGTCTCCTGATGTGTTGCACCGGAATGGCGCTGATCATCAGCCACGTGGGTGTTGTTCATGCTTTTGCTACCGTTCCATCAACATCTTCTTTGCATCCTGGAGCCACCATTCTCTTGCCTCCATCGTTGAAGACAACACGCCAGGACAACTATCGCCGTTCGTCCCCTCTTGACTCCACTTTGGGCTCCAAAAGCGTCACTGCCACCGGTTCCATCAGGAAGAAGAATGCACTGGTCTTCAAGCTCGGAGCTCTCAGCCGTGTCATGGGGCAGATCCTGGCGCTTTCGGTTCAACCCAACATGTGGAAGGTCCATGTTCGGAAAAGTTTCAAGTGGGCCCTCTTGGCAGCTACAGCTACCATCATGGCATCTCTCCAACGGGCAAGTACCACGAACGCGGCCAGCAGCTTGATGGCAAGGACCATCCAAGCTGCTCTCGGGGCAAGCTTGCTACGTTGTTACTTGCTTCCTCTTGTCTACGGACTTGTCATGGTCTCAGCCTGGCCTTATCTGTGTCATGGTGGCAACCTGCGCCGTATGCTTCATGAAATGTACATCTTGATTCCCTGGTGGTTCAGTAACAAGCTCTTGACCGATGAGCACGAGACTTGGATTCCTCACTTTTTGTCACAGCTGGGTGCCGAGGAGGACACGGTCGACTTGGCCCACAAGTTTTGCAGGAGCCGTCAGTCGTCAATGGACGTGACGGACCCATATGCTCTGGCACATTCGAGCGGCACACTGGCACTCTATCGACATTCCTTTGGCGCCGAGGCGACGAACAGCCCGGACTGGCCTCATGTCGTCATGAACTGTTGTTACGGTCGTGTATTGGATGACTATCAAGATTTGGAGGAAGATGCCAGCGATGGGAATGAACATCGCAACTTTTTTCTTGCCCTACAGAAGAAACAGCAGCAACAACTTGAAAATAATGATATTCAAGCCATGGTGGTGCAGGCCATGCGAGGTATGCAATGGCACGAAGAACAAATCGATGATCCGCAACTGCGACAATACGCACACGGGGCTACGCAAGCTTTACGAGCTTGCATGTTGTTCAAAAACAAATCTTTTAAAACAGAATGGAACAAGGCCCGAGCAGAGATGCAGTCATCTTCTCACACTTCTTTGCCTGACTTTCGGTGGCCCTTTGCAAGCTTGGTGGGTTCTGCCTAATACCGGTAGAAATGAAAAGTGACCAGGTCCATTGTATGTGGGCGAGGTGCAAGGTACCGCTACAGTGGTACGGTTCGGATTAATTAATATGTCGTACGATGCACGGCCTTGTCGACTTACGGTTGGTTGTCTGCACGTGTACTTGCTCTGGCATGTTTTATTTATGCATAGCACCCCAGCCAATCGGAGGAGTTATGTTTTCATGTATGCTTTAATCTCTATGGAGCCTTCATTCTAAGTATCTTTTACATTATTAACTCACAATTTGTACACTTTGTACCAGTGTACAGATACATCAAAAAACTTGACTTCCTCCTCATGTTATTTTTGTGAGATTGATCATCTGTGAGATTAGACTATTGGGAGCACAGATATTTTTCAAGCTAGCTACGGTAGCTTTTTAGAGTCAGCATCACCTACTGTAGAGATTCCACCAGCCTGATGAGGGTTGGCAGTTGGTATGGAGTCTTGATGAAATTTCATAAGTCAGTGGGAGCTGCGATACCTCGGCAGAAAGACAGATAGAAGAATGATGACATGTTTGAGATTGCACCCTTCTTTCAAAGTAGCCCTGGCGACAACACCCGACTTCGTCAGGTGTTGCCGCCCGCTAACCATAATTTTACAGCTGTCACGCCCGTACGTACCTGTAACTTTTGTAGCTTCTGCTGGCTTATTGTGTTGAGTGCACTAACCTTGAATAATCATGATTTATTCCTACTCCTAAATTTGTAGAGTTGGCTTGTGCCTATCTCTATCCCTATATTTTGGCTTCACCAGAACAGGAAACAGGAAGCAGGAAATTCGGCTTTTTTCAGCGTTCGTCTCCTGTTTCCTCAGTTTGCTCGCTACTTGGATCCTTATGACGATTTTGCTCGCTGCAGTCGGTTACCTCGCATTGGATCCTTATGACGAATACATGCACAAAACCGAATGTTGTTAATCCAGCCATTGTAGCCGGTTACCGTAGAGTTACATCGATCCGTGACAGTGGCAACAGTACCGAACACACTCAGGTTCCGCTTTGCTGGCTACACTCCATTGCCGGTATCTTGCATTGGATCCTTATGACGAATACATGCACAACCGAACATTATGAATCCAGCCATTGTAGCCGGCTGCGGTATAGCTACATCGATGACAGTGGATGCAAACAGTAATCCCGAAAGTTCGGCTTTGCTCGCTATGGTTACCGGTACTACCTCGCATTGGATCTTATGACGAATAAACTACATGCACAACCGAATATTCTCAAAAATCCAGGCCCAATTGTAGCCAGTTACCGAAGAGTTACATCGATCCGTGACAGTAGCAACAGAACCGAACACACACACGTTCCGCTTTGGCTGGGCTCACTCCAATTGCCGGATATCATTTGCATTGGAATTACTTATGACGAATACAATGCACAACGCGAACATTATAACAGCCATGTAAGCCGCTGCGGGTATAAGCTACATCCGATGACAGTGGCAACAGTACCGGAAAGTTCGGCTTTTGCTCGCCTATGGGTTACCAGGTACTCACCTCGCATATGAAAAAAAACCCTTATGAGGCGAATACATGCACATCCGATTATTGTCAATCCATCCATTTTAGCCAGTTACCGTAGAGTAACATCGATCCGTGACAGTGGCAACAGCACAGAACACACTCAGGTTCCGCTTTGCTGGCTACACACCATTGCCGGTATCTTGCATCGGATCATTATGACGAATAAATGCCAGACAACCGAACATATGAACCACCATTGTAGCCGGCTGCGGTTTAGCTACATCGACGACAGAGGCAACAGTACCAAAAGTACGGCTTTGCTCGCTATGGTTATACCGGTACACCTTGCATTGGATTCCTATGACGAATACAATGCAACAACCGAATATTTTCAATCCACCCATTGTAGCCAGTTACCGTAGAGTTTACAAATCGATCCCGTGACAGTGGCAACAGCACCGAACTACACTCAGGTTCCGCTTTGGTGGCTACACTCCGTTGCCTGTATCTTGCATCGGATACATTATACAGAATACATGCACAACCGAACATGTCAATCCAGCCATCGTAACCAGCTGCGGTTATAGCTACAATCGATGACAGTGGCAACAGTAAACCGAAAGATTCGGCTTTGCTCGCTAGTTACCGGTACTCCCATCATTGGAATCCTTATGACGAATCATGCACAACCGAATATTCTCAATCCAGCCATTGTAGCCAGGTACCGTAAGTTACATCAGTCTGTTACATGGCAACACATTACCGATCACACTCAGGTCGTCTTGGCTGCGCTACACTCCATGTTGCGTATCTTGATCACTTATGACGAATACATGCTACAACGAACTTAATTGTAATCCAGCCAATTGTAGCCGGGCTTACGTGTATAGTCAATCGATCAGTCACCGAACCGAATCAGTTTGGCTTTGTCGCTATGTTCAACCGTACAGGTACTCGATTGGATCCTTATACGAATATATGAACAACCGAATATTTTTAATCCAGACCATTGTAGCCATGTTACCGTAGAGTTACATGATCCGTACAGTGGCAACAGCAACCGAACACACTCAGGTTCCGCTTTGTCTCTACACTCCATTGCCGGTATCTTGCATCGGATCATTAATGCGAAATACATGCACAACCGAACATAATGAATCCAGCCATTGTAGCGCCGGCTGCGGTATAGCTACAACAACGACAGTGGCAACAGTACCCAGAGAAGTAGCTTTCTGCTCGCAGGTTACCGAGTCTACCCCCCCCCCGCCTCAGCACTCTTGAATCGCTCTATGACAGAATAACCAATGCACAACCGAAATCTCAATCCACATTCGGTAGGCCAGTTACCGTAGAGGGTTAACAAATTACGATCGTGAACGACAGTGGCACAAC